GACAGCTAGTAAAATATAATATAATTTATACGCGATCAAGTTGACGAGTATAAGCACGCAATATATTATGATATTATTATATATTTCATAGTTACTCGCTAATTCGTTGATATCGTTAATTAACGCTGCCGCAATATTCCGTAGCAAAACTTTCTCCTAATTGGTATAAAATTACTGATTTATAGTAAGCTTTCCGAGTTCCGTACATAAATAAAAGTTATATTGCCGTATAGTCGGGTGTAGAAAATTACGAGTTTTATCGAGTTTCGCGACAAATGAGCCGACAACGTGTTACCGCGGTTTATCGAAATTTCTAAATATCAAATCTCTAATTGTATTGTCACTATAAAATACTTATACCGCACGGTTCCGCGCGGTTTCATATTGTTTTCACCGAAACCATAAAGAAATAAATTTGACGGGTGCAGCCGCCGTTGTAAATGAGAAGTTCGGTTAGGTAGGACGCAGAAGGGAATTGAATGTACCTAGTTCCGTAAGCACCGATAAGCCATTGCTAACGAAAAAACGAATCCGAGCGGAGTCCAGTTGACAGTGATGCTTCGTCAACAATGTGTGTGTCATATTATGGTGAAATAATTAAATAGCCATTGTACATTTACTTTAACAATAGTTTAATATTGATCCGATTTTCCCGTTTTTTCCCCACGTTTTTCCCGGCTTTTCCCATTTATTGAGAAAACACCTAGGAAAACCGAAAAAATGACCTTCTTAAAGTACCACCCCAAGGAAATTTCATTTCAGAAAAGTGTCCATATCGTATACATCGGAGCAAGATTATTTTTGGTACAATTTTTGTACGCAGTATAAAAAAAAATAATAAACTTCTTTGTAAAACCAATACATTCTTCGGTACACTCAGAATCTAAAATAAAATCACTAATTGGAACGTATGTTAACGACAAGCTTTATCCTCTTTTTTTTTTTTCTCTTACCCGGACCCTTTGATAATGTCATGTATTAAAATAATGATAACTATTATTTAAAAGAACCGCTTAATTATTAATTCGCGTCTGCGCGTATACAAAACTGTGTGCGTTACGTTTGTTTGCCATTCGAAACGTACGGTGACGCATTGTCGAGATTGCGTAAAAAAAAAAAAAAAAATAAAAAAAAAATGAATAAAAGCGAATAAAGTTTTAAAACGGACGGCCGGAGAACGTGGATAATTAACGACGGCGCAGAAACGAAATTATCACGTAAAATGTAATTTTATTTTCGAACTTGTGTCAATTATTATACAGTAAGTATATTGTTATGTACGAGTGTTGCGGACGGCGTACCTATATTGTAAATTACGCGGACTTTTAAATTATTGTGATTGCGTTATACCCGTGTAAATAATGAAATGCGTGTATTTAATACAATAATATTGTTACGTTGGAAACTTTTATGGAAAAAAAAAAAAAAATAAAAAAAATAATAATAATAATAATAACGCGCTGTAAATACGATAGTAATATTATTATCGCGTATAAAGGGTAAGTGCAATAGTGTGCGTACGAGGTACCCGCCGTAGCGCTGCGCGTCGGTCACCTACCCAACGATCGTCGCGATAATAATTAATGAAACTCCGGTTAAAAAAAACAACGGCTCTCGCGTAACGCACCGCCGTGTACAGCGTACTTATGCTGATAATAATAATAGTATGCTATTGTTATTATTATTATTATTATTTTTTTTTGTTCTGTTTCTAAACGAATTAATTTACAGAGCTGTATCGTAATATTTTAGGTCCGAATTAATACTCGTCGTCGAAAACGACAATAATAATGATATTATTACTGTACGCTATGTTATGCCGCGTACGACTGTGCCGTACACGGTGCGTATCGGCGTACGGTCCCCGCGGAATTACTCATTACGCTATTATTATATCATAGCCGCAATGATAATTTATACGTTTCCGTTGTTTAATGTAATATTATATTTTAATAACACACACACGCACACACACACACACACACACACACACACACGCATATACACACACGCGCGCCGCGTAAAAAACTTCCCGGGGACGCGAAAAAAACCGATGTGTTCGGGCCTTATTATCGAGTAATGTCTCCGTGCGGTGGCCACGGGCCGTGTACGAGTTGATTCCCGGGTACCCGTTTACCCGCACCGATATCGGCAAACCGATCCGGTGGCTATCGGTAGGTATGCGTGTACGAGTTGATTCCCTTATTTTTGTAACGAAAATAACAAGCGTTTTATCAAAGTTTGTCGGCAATGATAATAATTCGTTTTGGACGGCAGTTTTCATAGTTGAACACTCTGGAACGTACGCGTGCTCGGTGAGCACTCCAAGTTTTTATCAGAGAAATGACAAGTAAGTGTATACTGATGACTGGCACTCTCGTTGCCAGATGTCAGTTTGTGAAAACAATGCGTTTTACATTTGTATCCAGTGCAAACTAAAATGTAGTTCTGTGACGATGAACCTTTAACACCTGCCTGCCTAAAATATTCTAAATAAAAAGAATTGTAAAATTAACCTAACGTGGTTCAAAATATGAGAAAACTGAAAAGAAGAAAATTGTGAAAATGCACGAGTGTATGAAAATTAACGTTAAAATAGTTACGGTAAATTTGTATAATTGTAAATGAGAGGCGTAGTTGACTATTGTGAGAGCAGTGTAAAGGGGATTGTGGGAGCGTGGGAGCTCCCGTGTGTTTTCGATGTGTCCATAATTTTAGCATCCACAAATAAGTTGGTTGTCTAGTTACGCCTATGGAGTCAAAACAATTTGCAACCCGGTACCATAATATGCAATACGTATTATTTTATTATATTTTATGACCTTAGAAAAAACCCCCTTATTACACTGCACTACGGCATTTAGGGAGGGGGTGGGAGTTAATGCTCCCATTCCTCTCCCCGCCCGGTGACCGACACTGATGGAATGACCGAGAGAGTCCGAGACATCGAGATTCGTAAAATTTAATAAATTGACAGAGTATCAGTTTAAATACATCTAGGTGTTGAAGTTTTTGATTTCCGTCAACCCACTGAAGAGATATTTCAATTTTAAATTTGGCTGAATGGAAATTAGTGTATCATTTCTGTGACGGCACAACGCATGACGTTAGAATAGTGCTCCGCTATTCTTCGCCTGTTTAAACCTAAAAATGAAATATCTTGTCGACGGGTTGTCAATGTAACATGAAATTTAAAAAAAACCCGTATAAACATCACCAAAGACGTTTTATTGAAATACATTATAAATGTATCCCCATCTGCTGAAAATTGTGTTTTTATTTTTCGTTAAATGTTAAAAGGCCCTGTACAATGGGAACGTGGAAAATCCGTCCAATATGTTATGCATTTCCTATATCATTAACGGCGAGACGGATGTTTTATCGGATCATCTTTGTCGGAAATTATTAATTTTTCCTACACGGCTTGTTCTCATCGGTTGCGTTTCAAAAATGATTACTATATAATTAGTTAGGCATTTAGGATAAACGTTAAATTATATCTAAAGATAAATATGAAATCGTTATTGTATAATACACTATCGTGTTAAAAATAAAATGTATACATAACGAATAACGATTAAATTGTACAGATAAAATTGAATTACCAGCAATATTTCACATGAATGTAAAAAGTAAAATAATTTAGATAATGAAACTTTTTCAAAAAACTACGATGTAAAAAGTGCACTATACGAGTATAATGTGGTACACACTATAATATGGCAGTGCGATTATTAAATGTAACATGATAATTAATTTATTAACACAAAGTATACATTTTAGGCTTTAGCTGTCATTCCCGATAAAATATACTAATTGCGATTTTAATAGACGTATCCTGCAGAATCCCGATAATTGATTACTGACTATCTACAGGGTTCATTTATGATTATCTTGGATAATTATTATTTCCTATTCATCTGGATGGGATATAATATACGATGACGATTATTATGACGAATTGACGAGATAACGAAAAATTACCTTTTATATGTATGTCTAGATAAACCGCAACACGTATGTTTTTTTAGGAGATATACGTACGATCGTACCAACAAAAATCGTAAAACAAACGCCCCAAGATGAGAAGGTTCGAATTTTAAAAACGATCCCGAACACAGTCGAACTGGGAACTAACCTTTCTACACGTATGTAAGCACTCGTATTGTTAATATAATATGTGTATACATAATGTAATACTCATTGTTCGTAGACCGATTATTGGTCTAGATATGTATTGTACATATCTACTGGACGGAGTATGAGCGCTGAGATCCGATGGGAGTAGGCGGGCCAACCATGAGAGATAAGATTGAAAATATGTGACTTTGGTGTGAAAGACAACACTGATGTCCAAAACGGCCAATTAAAACACGCCGGTATTTCGTTCTCATTTAGTCCTTTCGTGAAGAAGAACTCCACCACTCTAATACGGAAAATTCCGAAAAATAACCTATGGCAAAATGTGACAAATTTAACATTCATTTTGACGTGAAAAAAAAAAAATTAAAAAACATAGATACGCCGGTGTCGACGTCAAGTTTGGACGTCAAGTCTCGACGATTTTTTTATAAAATTTCAGAATTTTTCGAGAATTCGATACTTCGCAGGTTATGCGGATATATTATTTGCCGCGCGATAACGACGATGACGTTTGATGCTGCATCGACGTTCGGCGATAAAACGATACGCGATAGTAACAGTGTCCCAAAGTCCCCACACTGGAGTTTATTGAACACACATATCGAGAGAAAACAAAAATTCTATAATAACCGGCGGCGGCATTACACACAAACGGTATACGTTATATTAAAAAAAAAAAAAAAAAAAATGCCCAGAAACCCGGTCGGGCTGCTGGGACAACAGGTGGCCAGGGGCAAGTCAATACTATGTAATATTTAGGCAACTACTGTATACACATAAATACGAGATACGAAACGAATTTCTTTCTCATTTTTTTAATAAAAGCACTTAAATATAATACAATATTATAATATCGTCTCCTCCGCGGGGTCCCCCGTGTAGCAAAAAATATACTCGGAGATAAAAATACATTTTAGTCTTCAGTGGTGTTTGTGACGACGAAAACGTCGCAGCGCATCACGGATCAAAGCAATAATACTATCGTATATATAATGTTATATATATATATAGTTCGTTCCTCTGCCGCCACGATCGCAGTCCCGGGGTTTTATCAACGTTATTGATTTTTTTATTTTTATTTTTTTTTCACGTATATAGGGAGCACGTTACCCGACGACATATTTTCGTATACATAAATATATATAATGGTGATAGTCGTACGCCTATGAAATTTAATTAAAACGACTGACGTATTTTTTGCACGTAAAGCGTAATAATTGTATGCGGTTTTTTCAGTTTTTTTTTTTTTTTTTTTTTTTTTATCCAACAATTAATGCGTTTTTTTTTTACTTCTACGACGACGCTGTAACACACGCCTCTATCGATCTTTTTTTTTTTAGTTTTTATTTTCGCGTCGAGTCTTTTCGTCTAAAATAATGCTGCGAACCCTCCGGGGGCCGACGTTTCTGCAGATGATGTGTTACGTTTTTATACGCGTACGCTTGCACGCAGTTTCAATATTTCAAATTTTTTCGCGCTTTTTTACCTATAGTATTATAGTGATTTAATATCAAGCCGGCAGGTAACCTGTACGGTCGAGAGAACTGTGACAGTCGTTTATGGTGCAGTGATATTTTATACCCAGAAGTTTGAAAAAGAAGGGGCGAGGAACAAATAAATACAAAACGGATTTCCCAAAGAAAAAAACAAAAAAAAAACCACACACTTACCAGTACATTTTAGTAAAACTATAATCGATTCTTAGCACACTGGAAATTCAAACCAATTGTAGGTATTTATGTAATGATATACCCACACAACATAAGACCATACACGAACAATTATTTATTATTTATATTATTACAAAACCGTAACTAAAAAATTCAAATACGGCAGAGCGCTTGGTGTTTTCTAAAATGTAAATAATTTAATAAACACAACGAAGCGTTCGCTATTCATGAGGGATATATACAATATTATCTACATGCAAAGTAATTTTAATAAAATGTGTCGAATATAGTAAAGAACCACGGCATCTGCTGCGGCTCATTGAGGACACTGCCGCCTCGGTCGTACTATTGTGTATCTTATTCTTACAATTCGATTATTAGTTATTTTGTATCGACACCGACGCGAAGGCCATCTGGTCCGTCTTTTTTAACCCATAAATTCTAACGGTTGTTTTTTGCTCATTTAAACATACATAATTCAACGGGTTTTTCAATTGAAAATCGAGCGTCTGTCGAGAACCCCGCACGCAGCCACTATTACGCACCACCAACTTCTTTCGAAAATCTCTCTCGAATAGCTAGCTCCGAATTTTATCAGCTATAATCACTCGTGTTTGATTTCTTTATTGATTTATATTATAATCCAACCTTTTGTTTTCCTAATTTAAAGATAAGCATTTTTTTTTTATTCGAGTGCACACAGATGCAATGTATTTTGTATTATATGGGTACATTTTTATACCTGCTCTTCTATCTTATTGTTTGTAGGTACTTCTACATAGTAGCTTATTATTATATATTTCCTTTGTCTTCCATCACTACATATAGTGTCTAACTAACTTATTATTTTTAAATTTCTTCTTTTTTGTATTAATACATGTATAATCAATTCGTATTTTATTTCTAATAATTAAATACTCATGATGGCGTTGTAAAGTTAGGATACGGATGAAAAAAATAAATCTTAAGAAAAAATTAAGAAGGAAAATGGAGGCATAGCCCTGGTAGTGAGACGAATTCCTGGATACGTCACTGGTATTATTAGTTAAAAAATTGAATTTTCTCGAATTTTACTAGTTACGATACATTACGTATATTATATTATTATGTCGATAATACTTCGTGATGACAATCGAATTTACGTATATAATATTATAAATGTCTATAATAATATATAAACTATCTATAAATCTATCTAAATTACGGGGCCGGGGGGGGGAAAGTTGTTGTTTAGAAAAGCAGCAATAATAATCGTAACTGTCGTATTTATAACAATATTTTTTCCGAGACTTTGAACATTTTCCGGCTGTTATATAACGTGGAAAATATGTTTTTTTTTCTTTCTATTTGTTCATTTTCCCAAACTTAACAACAGATGCTCTGTTCGCATACTTAAAAAATAAATAAATAAATAAAAACCGCAGAAAAGAAGGAAAATAATATCGTCATTTTTTTAATACATATATATATATGGTTTTTTACTGCAACTATCTGACTTATTTCTCTTTTTTACGTTGAAGTATTTGTTCTCCTATTTATTTTTTATTCTTTGAAATACGTTCTTTTGTGCGTGATTGATGACTACATACATTTTTTTTTTTTCGTACATCAATAATTTATAAACGGTATATACTAGTATCATGCCATTAAGGTACCTATCTGTACGACGACGACGACGATACGAGTGTAATATTCTCTAGACCAATGCCATTGTCAAAAACACGTCCTCGTATATATGTAGTTCGTATTAATATTAAATCTATCGCCGTATCGTTTGTCCGCGAAAATCCAAAACGTGTTCGACTAGTATTTTTGACATTTTATTAGAAATATATGCGCAAAATATATTGCGTTTCGTTTAATAGCCAGTTATCTTGTAATGGACGTTGTCATCGGTACCTATCAGCATGTAATATAAACCGTTTCGTGCATTACATTGATGAAAAATTTACAAGTATTGTGTTTTATAATATGAACAGAAATCGTATTAAAATGTTATAAGCCCAGCGGTAATATTACAGTAATCTAATACGCATTTTGAACGTGCATATTATACATTTTTCATATTTATGTTCACAATTTTATGTTTATTTTTTTTTTAGTTCCGATGCCAAATTCAAGGAAATTGTGATAGACGAAAATCACGTTATAATAACTGAACGATCACGGTATCAAACCGTTTATTAAAATGTTTTTTTTTTTTTTATCTGGACGCATTAGTGTGAACCGATATAAATCACATTATGTCTGTTATAATATATTTATACGATCCCACTGTGCCCCTTCTCCCCTTTTATGTACAATACACCAGTATCTATATTGTTTTTATAATATCTTGTCTTTTGTCAATTTTTTCCATTTTATTCGATGGTCCAAATTACTTACTTATTAAGTGTATACGTATATTTTAACACGTCATGTGTAACGTTCCACAATACACATAATGCCTTAAGAAAAATATTTTTTTCTTCCCGATATAGGAATTTTTGTATTTTTTTCGCCATGCATACATACAAGAAATTCTTGCCGCACGAATTGCACGCACTGTGTCCCGTATATCGGAAAACCGCGCTGTCAAAGAGCTTTAAGCATGCTCTGCATTCCCCGATCCCGATCTACCGTTGTGGCACCACGATCCGCTAACGAACGGCGATGGAGCAACATAAATATGGGGGTAGATAGATAAAGGTGGTATAGATACTCAGCCTGTACCTGAGCAAAACGGTTCGCTTTAGCAGTACATTTTATAGAAAACTGACTGAATTTTATGATATTATCCACGACAGCACTGCAGCAGATAACCGCAGAGTTCCGTCATAACATATACACATATATACATTACATAGTTATTTATGTAATGTAGTTACAAACAAATGTCGTCAGTGGGCGTCCTTTTAAGCGAACCATTTTTTCGATCGAACTGAGTGTCTATATTCCCTATATGTCGTTCCTGCAGTGATTACCCACTGCCGACTGTTGGACAACTCCCCGTGGCTATACATAATTACTATGTTCTGCTTTTTACGAGGTAAGGAACGCCTCCATTTGCGGTCTATTTGCACTTATATCTACTGTTAGTATTCACCATATCATCTATTGGCGACGGAAACCCCCTCTCACCCTTGCATCCTGTCACAACGACTATTGGCTCCTGCCATCTCGGCCTTTGGCTACAGAAACCCTATAATATCATTCGCCATTATTACCTATAATTTATTGTATCACTTTATTATACTACAATTGTTCGTATATTGTTATTATATGTTTATACCTTTGTATCAAAACCCTTTATTGCAGTATATGTTATATCTCCCCTCGCGTTTTGCCCGTTTATATTTTAACTACCCCATATAATATTGCGTACTATATCATAAAGTCTGTTGTATTCCACGTTAAAAATAATACCTACCGTACGATCCCGCAGACATACACCACATTTTTGTAAAACAGTTTTTATTCCCCTCGCAAAATGAATTAATGAAAATAATTAATGCTTGTGATCTATCTCGTGTTAAAATGTATAATAATGTATATAAGGAAATACTTTGGAATATTGCACAATATGTCATATGTTATATTGGATATTGAAATACCTATCTCAAGTAATTATAATATAATTTTTCTTAGGCAAAAGGCCTAAATCATATATAATCAAATGACTTATAAAGTCTTATGGTATATTTAAGCTATTTATGTTAGGCAATTTAGCGGTTCAGTCATTTGATGATTATGCCATTACGCCATTGACCAGTTTTAAAAACTGAATTTGCTTGAATTAAAAATTATATAAAATTGACTTAGGCCTTTCTTCCTTTGGACCAAATATATTATGCCCGCAATAACTGTATAGTCTATAACTAATGCGGGAAATATAATGTAAAATTATCTACTTTACTTAGGAGTGTGGACGTAAATTGTGGCGTTAAGATAATAGTTTTTAAAAAAAAATTTAAAAAATTATTAGTGTTGCTGGTTTTTAAAGTTATTTAAAAAAAAAAAAAAAACCAAAAACTAATACGACTGTATCTCCTCTTTAAATTGTGTGAACTTTGTTTGAATTGTAGTTTTGATTTAAATGCCACCTCTCTTCAGTAACATACAATTCTGTTACTTATATCGCCAGTTAGACTGGGACAGTAAAAATGTGGATATATTCTTGGCTACTCATCTTAATACCATTAAGATCTGTCATGTTATGATTTACAACGTAATCGAAAATAACAGAAACGATTATTCCGTACATTACCCGTGTTTCTTACATTTTCCCACAGTTATTAAAAAAAAAAAAAACGACTATGAAAATCAAAATATAACCAAATAAATAAAATTTAAGTTGACGATCGGAACGTTGTTTCAAATAAACAGAAAAAATAAATAATAATCAAAAATTTAAGGTTAATCCTAATCCTAATCCTTATGAAGCGTCCGAAACCAACAGAAAATATGAAACTATACGCGTATTTAAAAAAAATATGTGATACCTATTACTATTCGATTTATTGTCGAAAGCTGCTATGACGGTAAAATATATATTTTGTTGCAAATCTGTTTAAACGTAAAAGAGGGGGGGGGGGCTAATAAAATTGTGGGTCGGTCTCGTGTCGGTATATTGTATATTATTTATGTATTGTATTTCAGTCTACATAATTTATAGGATAGAGTAATTTATATACGTGTGCACAGTGATGGTTTTTTTTTTAGTATTTTTTTTTTTTTGTATAATAAGTTATTGCGCAGTGTTGCAGAGCAGTCCATTACAAATCGAATGAAGATAAAAAGGATTAAAATATAAATAAAACCTCGAATAGAAAAAAAAATACCGTCGGACCATTAACCGCGCGCTTCCAACGGCCTGAATAAACACGCGCAGAATAAAATAAACGTAACGGAAAAATAAAATTTAAAACAA